TCCACCAGATCCTTTTGGGTCTTTTTAAACATTTAACTTAAGCATACATAGGGGCCTATGTATGCTTAAGAAGATAGCGACTTTGTTTTATACTATGTTGCGATGATACCGTATGGTATAATTTATAAATATAAGTATGAAGTATAAATCAGTTTTTTCAATAATACAAAGAGACACACCAATTTTATTAATATGTTTAGATATAAAGATGAACACAATATTGAACGAAACCATATTTTGAGTCTATCAAATAGTATGAAACACACTTGATCTGACCTGTGTTCCACTCCAGCCGAACCTCAACAGGATCCAATATCGAAACGTTAACAGTACTATCGGACATGACAACTGAAAACCGACATATCACAAACCTCGATAAAAGAGTAGCTCTTTTAAATTCTTCAATCTTGCTACTTCTCAGGATGTGGAGTGGCGTTTGATTCTTGGGCGGACACCCCTATTAGCTATTGTATCCGAACGGTGCTCCATACTTCATCGTTTCCATAACTGCACCTTGCGATCCAATTTAAATGTCCATTATGATGACTATGAGGCTCGTGGCTGGGTAGATTTTTAAAGGAGTCTATCAATATTGAGAAGACTTATGATTTAGGCGCTCCAAAAGTTTTTTTTGACTGGCATACAATGCTATTGGCACTAGGTCCGCCGATATGCATTTGTATACCTAATATAAAGAGAATATCAAAATATATGTTTAATTTATATGTTGAAGAATTAGGATCTCAACAGGATATTATTTGATTGTCATGCAGATAAATCCCATTCAAAAATAAATATATCTCTACAGATAATATTCATTCATTTTCAACAAAGAAATCGGAGATCAAATAAATGCCAATGCAGACATTCGCTCCCTAACAGCTTTAATTTTGAATTAATTAAATATTCATTTTTCAGGTGTAAACACAGACATACAAGTTAAATCGCCAGAGGGTTGTGAAAAGAACATAACAGTCTGGCGGATTTCAGACAAAGGCGAGGCTTCATTGAAAAAGTTTCAGCGGCGACAACTTAATTTAGTTTATACAGCGTTGAACTGGCTTCAGATTGGACAACTTAGTTCAACGTACAGCGCTTCAAGGCAACAAACTTTTATCAAAGCCATTCCAGATCAAGCCCCAAATTGCTTTCAGTTCGCCTTGAATTATAGGTCCCTTGGTAAATACGTAGTGTGAACGTGTACGTCTCTAAGCTGTTTTGTTATTTGACAATTGCACGCCACTTCAGGATGACGCTGCCACTCGTTCTTTATTTGTGGCTGATCGCATATAGGCTTTGTCCGTTTTGGAATAGCACAGGACACTCCATCTTAATTTAGGAAATTTTGAATACAATAATAACTATTTTATCGAATTCAAATTATTATCGTTTACAATAATAACTATTTGAATGCATCAAACGTCACGCGAACATAAGCCGGCGTTCGCTTACTTAGTGTCTTAATATTGTATCTCTAAATACCATGATTGAAAGGTTAATAATATTAATACATGTCTATGATTTATTATTTGTGATATGACAATACTATACGTTTATTTATTGTTAGCTTTCAAAATATAGTAACATCAACCTAAAAGTAAGTGTTGAGAAATAACGACATTCATCCTCTGATTCTATATTTTAATTCATAATTTATTATTACTAAGAATAAAAGTTGCTTTTCAATTTTTTTTAATTAATTTAATACCGTTACTTTTGTCAAGCCCATCAAGGTCAAAAATGTGGTTTATAGAAATCTCTGGAAAGAAAAAATGGAAATCACTTAAAACATTTTGTAAGAATAGGATGGATGTTTAGACCTTTTACATAATTAAGTATTTTTGACGATAAGAAGTCAAACGCTATCTTCTTTCTCTCCCTTATAGAAGTGTCAGACTTTTACTGACTAAAAACCATGCATAATTTTTTGATTCCTCATTTTCATCTTAGAGCAGTGTAAGCATTGTTATTTGTGTATTTAAGACATATTGCTATTTGTCTACGTGTTAATATCTGCATTCTTTCTGAACTGACCACTATCTGAGGAGACTGACAGGTAAGTATGATGCGGACTAGAATGAAGTACGCCTACCTAAAGGTATTTTACTCAAGCATTGAATAGAACCCAGGAACCCTGGTTAAATTCAACATTGTCTCTGATTACCCCTGAAAAATATGGCCAGATTATGGCATATTACTGACTGATAGCTTCTGCAATTCTTTGGTTCAGCCATTTTCTTGCGCATTCGCACGGGCCATCTTGCATTCAGATAATCCTCCACTAGCATAAATGGCAACCATTTAAAATCCTCACTGTTAGGCGCTTTATTAACTATTCTTAAATTATTTATATATATATATTAAACTTTATTAACTATTCTTAAAAGTTGAAAAAATAAAAGCTTTTCACCAAAAGTGTTTTTGTGTTCAGTCAAGACTCGCTGTTGAGGCAAAGCTCAGGACCAAATAGGTCACAATATAAAAATCAACTATATACCGGTGGTTATAAGACGTCTTTACTTAAAAATAATATTTTTACCATGGGCCCTCTTATATATAATAAACTAATAATACACTTAAAAGATTTACCTATCAAAATTTTCAAAAAGAAGTTAGAAAAACTGCTAATGGACAAGTGTTACTATTCGATACAAGAATTCTTTAATGAAAAATCCTTCTGTTGAGGGTATGGACGCAGCTTCCTTCTTATGAAATTTACTGACATTCTATTTTTGTTTTTTGTTAAACAAGACTCTAATGTTATCTTATTTCTTTCTATAATGGAATTTATTTTAATTTTTCTGACTTATCTGGAGTAATTAATAACTGACATGTAATTTGTTCTGTATTACTTATAATTTAATAATTGTACAAGATTTTCAAATTTTAGTAAATTTTTTTTTTCCTCAATTATGTAGATTATCACACCATATTAAATTTGTACGCCTCCTGGCATAACATAGCGCTCTGTGTCAACAACATTATAATATCTGTATTTTATTAACCTATGTTAACAAATAAATGATTTGATTTGATTTGATTTGATTTGAGGTAGAAAGGCTTACTTCAACTGTTTATACCAGCTACTATTTGCGGATCAGTGTCAATAACTTTAAAAACATTTATATAACAATTAGTTTTTTCTACAAATAAACATGAAATACATTTATTTTAATTACGGCCTCATTTCACCATAAAAAACTGAGAAGTGAAAAAAAATACGAGCACCAATTCAGAACCATAAAAAGAACGCACCGAAATGACCCGCGGAACTTTTCAAACATCCAAACGATTAACATATGAACGGAGTACAAAGAGGCTAATCATATTATCAGCTCCTAGATTAGCGGTAGGAAGATATAAAGGGTCCATTGTAGTGCGGCAGCATCGGAACCTCCTCGCCTCTCCTCACCCCGCTGCACGGAAATGGCGGCGGAGAACGGAGACAGCGACATCCGGAGAGGTGAAGCCAGCGGTGCCCGGCTCAGTGTAAACCCGGGTATTGTCGGACGAACACCCACCTACGACCCACTTTTCGAAATACCCGTTATTATCCGCTACTCTGACGGATTGTTATCTTAAGAACGCAGCTTCGATTGGTTAAATCCCATATACGGTACCAACATTAGTTATTTGTATATATACAAAATTATATCAAAATCAATGACGAACTATGTTAAAAACATTAATTGAAACATATGAAAACATATTCGTCATTTTTAATAAATGTATATTGTATAATATCTAATAATATGGTGGGTATTCTATTTTTCATAGTTCATTTGAAAGTTGACTAAAGTATGAAAATGTTGTACCCGAAAATCGTCATAGAAGTTAGATCCAAACTGCAATTAAATAGCGTCACAACATGTACATAGATACCTACTAAGAACAGCCCAATTTTAATTAGAAAATAAATAATTATGTTGTTCTATTTCCAAAAAATAAAAATAGTTAAGATTCATGTTAGGATAAGCGCCATCTCGTGGGGAACGTACACTTTACTTACAACAGAGCTGGGTGCTTGTAAGCGCCTAGCGCTCTCTATCTTAACTATAGTGCACTAACAATACAGAGGGGTTGCGAAGCCATTGGCGTCTCCCCTCGCCGTAACATTGTGTTATTCTTTATTTCTTTTTTGGGGTAGATGGGGTGCTCTTTAGATAAACGTATTTTCTCATGAAATATGGCTTTTTGAAGCCATAAAATAAGTAAGGTTATAATATCACGTTGGTTAGTTTGACAATTTATCAACCTTCTATCTATCTAAATATCTTCCTACACAATATGTGTAATAAACCTAAAATAGTTCGTAAATCGGTACCTATCTAAAAGAGGGTCGAAAAAATTTTGGCATGCCTAAAAGGATGAATGAAACACACGACACGTTACAACGGATATAAGAATTTTTGAGTACATATCTATTTATTTGTCTGGGTGGCTGGTAGCTAGTTGCAGGCTGGGCAGAGGCTGACGTGAAGTTTACCAATTTGTCACAAATAAAAACCTAGCCAGATACCAGACCTAATAGTCTACAAAAATGTCAAACCTTAGACGGGTTGGCATGCAAAGTGTGAACAAGTGAGGTGTCACACACACTACAGGCAGTACACCTGAATTAATGTTTGTAAAAAATCCCTTATTGATTTTAATTTTCTATACACATATATTATTATATAGTTTATTTGATATTCATTTAATGAATAAAAAATGTCTTTCTCTTAAATCAGTGTCTAATTTATTTACGATTTAAAATACATGCGATGAACGTACATACATAAAATATTCTATCCAGCGACGTACAACGTGCACGCACTTTAAAGTTTGGTAAAGAAGACTTTCAATTAAGATTTATTTTTGCCTGAAATTCGTTTTAGAATCAAGGTAAATAGCTAGAATAATGTTTTAATGTAAAAATAAAGAAAACCAAGTAAAATAATACTCCATATAATCCTGCCACGAAGTTAATTAGTGGAAAGCAACATCTATTTTGCACATCATTAAGTTTTGTTTTTCTTATCATTTTTCAATTTCATAGCGTACTGGCTCTCTAGCATTAACATGTAATCCATAAATTTCTGTCCCCATGGCGAGTATGTTAAGTACCATGCCTTGTACATTTCGCTCGCCATTGGATCCATAGCCGCGATATTTTCTGAATTTAAAACTGCAGATAAAATTTCCATAGGGTGAAGAGGTTTGTAATAGAGCTCAGTTAAGCGTTTACCAGTCATCAATTTTTCGACAACTGATCGAATTGTGCAAATGTCATAACCTCTTAGAGCTTGTGATATAGAAGATATATTAAAGTCACGATTAACACCATGAAACTTCATAAGCATTTGTGTTAATATTAAAGAAATGCTCCCATAGTCTGAAGTAGGTATCATAATAGTCGATGGGAACGCTTTAAACATTGTATTTTTTTTGGCTAACCAAGGTTCTGTCGCTGTACCAATAACTAAAATCTTATCGGATGTTCCGAGGGGTTTAACTATTTCTTTAAAGAACAATTTTGACAAACGCGTTGGATCAAAATTTTTTTCTTCTTTTGGCACCTTTTTATAAAACATCTTGTCCGCTTTATCCACCAATATAACTGTAGGTTGCATCATCCTGCTTATCTTGTTGATATAATTTAGCATAATTTTAGTCTTTTTTGGGCCTACAAATTTATCATAAGTAGTTAAAGGTGATAGATCAATCAATAGAGAGTTAGTTTCGGTAGCGACTGCATATGCCAATGTTTTTTTGCCAGTACCTTTAGGGCCCACGATCAACTGTGTTCTTTGTATACCTGCACAAGTAGCTCCAAGAGTCAGAAGACATCGAATTCTTACTTGTTCTTTTACGTCACCTATACAAGACGGTGGAAATACCGGGGTCCACAGAATGGCCCTGCAGTCTGCAGCAGCATAATTTCTGTCGCCCCAGTAGTCATCTAGTGTTACATGGGGGTATTTTCTGACAATACCATTATCAGCTAATCGCTGAAACATAACTTTCGCAGATATTTTCTCAGGTTTTGGAGGCTTAGGTATTCTAGGTTTTTTTCTTTTTTGTGTCATAGGAATTTTTTGTCCTATAGCTGCATAATCCACTTTGAGAGCGTTTCTTAATATTTCTAACTCTAGTCTCATAATTTCATCAGCAATTGGACGTAATTCTATTTTTAAGTCCTTGTAAGCGTTTTCTGTTATTAATCGCATTATATGACCTTTCATTGCTTCTATTCCTGCCGTAGGGGTATCGATATCAGACCACGTAGTTTCATAATTACTGCAGTGAAATTTTAAATCCGCGAAATGATGACCAATTTTAATGTAGATACCAGGGTCATTGTCAGGATTCATACGCGATTTTTTATAATCTAGCAGTCTTTTTTTCTCTTTCTCTCTGGCTTCTAATGCTAATCTTCTTTTTTCTTCTTTTGCAAATTTCTTTGCAGCTTTGATTTCTTCCTTGCTCTGAGGTACAGCTGATTTCTGTTTTTTTTCTTCAGCTGTACGCCAATCTAAATATTCTTCGATTGTGAAGGTTTCTCCTCTTACAATTAATATAGATCCACCTTCTTCAGCCCAAGGGAATTCATCAAATACTTGAACTTCTCTAAACCATTCAGTAAACCACTGTCTAATTTCATCAGTTATATCATCCAATATATCGCCCTGCCTTAGTTTCAAAACACGTGCTTTTTCTTTTAAATTATCATTTATCCATTGTTCATAATATGCTCGTCTATATTGACGTCTTGCTTCTTTAACCTTTTCTAATTGAATTTTTGCTGAAGGTGGTTTCCATGAAGAAACTGTCATACCTAGCTTTTCTTTTAATTTATTTTCTCGTACATGTATACGTTTCATTTCCATAAATTTTCTGCATACTTTTTGTATAATTAGCGCAGCTGCTTTCCTGATATCTTCTCGTAGTTTAGGCTTTTTTAATCCCGCTAACTCCAAGTATAAATTTTGATCTTGAAAAACTTTATGTACTATTTCCTTGGTACAAAATCGAGACCTTTCCATTCTCTGAATATTTATAGCATGGACGTATTTGGGATCTAACATTCTAGGGTCAATTTCTTTTTCCTCTTCATAAATAGGTTTCATTATAGGTTTTTGTTCTTCTTCTGGATTTTCTTGCTCTTCACCCTCAGACTGTTCTTGCGTTTTAGGCAGGTCTCCTAGACGGTTTCCCGCAAATATTTCATCCATTATGTATTGCATCTCTGCTTGTCGTATTTCAAATGGATAGAAAAAAGGACAAAGTATTTCAATATCGTAAGGTTGTATCAACAATTGTTGCAACGCGTTGTCAGGATAAGTAAATTCAAAAACTTCAATTTCCTCTAGAGTCTTTTTTAACTCAATAATACGACACGTAATGCCGTCAATAATTTTCTTTATGTATGGCCTTCGTTGTGCTTGCTCCATCTGATCGTAACAATCGCATAGTTGGTTGTATAACTCGCAGTACTTGCTGTATACTCTAGCAACTACTTCTACCGCCGTACCTTGAGGTTTGACACCGATATAATTTATAGCCAATTGCTGAATTCGGTCATCGTCCAGTAACGCTAATTTAAGCTGTTCTTTTAGTTGCAGCCAACGGTGATAATAATCTTTGTTCGACATTTTAATTACTTTTTAATTTTAAGTGCATTTAAATAGTGACTAAAGAAACATAAAAAATATTATAATATATCTCACATCGCTCAATCACGCATGCATGGCAAGTAAAACTAACACATCGTTTTATTCACTTTGTACTTTGTGAATTGACATTTTCAAACTGACAAATTTCGTTATGATAAGGCAAAAGCTGCCAGCAAAGAGTATTTCATGTAAGAAGAGGTTTTAATTATTTTTTTAGTAGTGTCTATATAACGATCCAAATTATAACTGTTTTGCATTAAGACAAAACAGGTATTATATGGTGAAGAAAACACAGCAATGATATGAAGAAGCAGTCCTTATGATTCTGTGGAAATTCCTTCGAAATTTGAATAAAATATTGAGTTTACCTCCATATTTCTGACACCAGAGGGCGCCAACGATTTTACCGCCATTTTCGTCGTCATTTGTCATTGTAGTCTTCATCATCAGCAAGAACCTTGTCTCATTGCTGTGTTTTCTTCACCATATAATACCTGTTTTGTCTTAATGCAAAACAGTTATATTATATGCCTTCGAAAACACAGCAATGATATGAAGACCTGTTTGATATCTGCTGGTGATCAGAAATATCCACACACACAAGAATGCAATGTGAATGTCATTGACAAATTATATTATGAAATGATAAATATCTTGAAAATAACAATGTTTATTAAAAATCAAGGAAAACAAAATGTTTTTCATCCATGAAATTTTCTAAAGGTTAACATAAAATTAAACTAATTTAATTAGTATTTAACAACAATTTATGAAAATTAATAAAAATAACAATAATAGAAACTTCTTATTATCAATAATTGATTAAAAGTAAAATTAGGTATTTTACTTTTACAACAATCATAAAATTAAAATTTAATATAAATAAAACTTTATATGCAATATAACTCAAACAGTTTTGAAATTATCATAAAGTAAATCACTTGCTACTGAATTAACTGGATTACTTATCTCTTTGCAATAATGTTTAGAAAATGTTTCTAAACATTTCCAATTTCCTCTGTCTAGTATTTCCTGAACTGGTCTATTGTCCAACCATCTTCTAGAAGCTACTGCTGATCTGATGCTACCTGGGGAAGCATCAATCTTTGCTAGTTTAAAAGCTGACCTAACCCATCCTGCAATCATAGTTTTGGATGCAGGTCTCAGTACTCCAGTGATGGAGACGAAAAGAGATCTAACCTGGCGGTCCGGACTTCTTCTAGCCTCTGAGATCTTAACTAGCTGCTTTACATGACTTACTGGACAAATCCTTAAGTCTTGATGTTTTATGAGAAGCCAGCCTGATTGTCTGTGTGAAACTGAGTCAGTCTTTGACCCAAATTTAGGCCAGAATGTTATAGTGTCTTCAGCTTCTACAAACCCTTGCTCAGTAAGTTCCAAGAGGGTAAGATCATGTAATCTTCTGCCTGATGCTAATAACAGAATCAGAGCAGTTCTTCTGCTTTGTTCAAATAAAGAATTTGAACAAGTGGAAGATTGCAACCATCTAAATAAAATGCTAACATCCCATACAGGAAGTTTAGGTGGAAGTGGTCTGGAAAGAGAGACAGCTTTTAAAACCTGTTGAATAAAAAAATTCTTTGAGAGGTTTTCCACTGTCGCTGCGCAGTAAGTGGCAATGGCCGACTTGTGTAAAAGAATTGTACTGTATGCAAAGTTATTATGGAGGAAAAGACTGGCTAAGAAGCGAGCCACATCCTTACCCTCTGGATTTTTATGGTCAACATTGTGTGTCTTACACCACTGCAACCATCTTTTTATTGGAGCACTATATGTTGTTAGGGTGGAAGGACGCCAGCTGTTCTGCAACAACTGTTGCTCTTCTACACTCCAGTCTGCTACTTGTTCCTCCCACCCCCAATTTTCCAAGCCTGAAGCATTAGCTTCTCCACTTGAGGGAGGCTTAGCCCTGTTGTCTGGTCCACTAACACTTCTTTCAGGTTCCCTATCGGCAGTGCAGGCACTAGAGCGCGTGCCTGTAGATCCGGAAACCAGAAGCACTGAGTCCAACGGGGTGCTACCACCAAGTATGTTCCTACTGCACTGTTCAAGTGTGCTAGGACCCTGGGTATCATGCTTGGAGGTGGGAATACCCACGCCAGATGGAACATCCATTTTCGACTGAAAGCGTCGCAGAAAAGCGCTGAGCCATCTTTTGAGTTTAGCGTTACATACCTGGGTACTACAGCACTTTCTCTTGTTGCGAAGAGATCGACTTCTGGTATGCCCCACCTTTCGAATATTGCCTCCGTGGCCGGTGGTAAGAGATGCCATTCGGGTACTGACCTTCCCCTTGACAGGCAATCTGCGATGCCGTTCAGGTTTCCTGGTAGGTAAAATGCTGTCATTGTGATGTTGAAACGACAACACACTTCCATTAACCTGGTTGTTAGTCCCAGTAATTTCTGCGACCGCGTCCCGCCCTGATTTCGGATATAGGCTACAAGAGTCCTGTTGTCCGACTGTACTAGAATGTGGGCGTTGGTTAGCAGAGCACCTTGGGAACTGATGACTGCGAAAACTGCGTACATCTCTTTCATGTTGGAGTGCCAGTTTCTTTGATTTATCGACCATCTCCCCGAAAGGTATTGGCTGTTCAAGCTTGCTCCCCAGCCCGCATCCGCTGCGTCTGTGGTTAAGAAATGCGTTATTTCTTTTTTGTGTAATGGGGTTGGACTGCCCTCTATCGCATCCAACCACCATCGCAAATCCTCCCGTACTTTGAAGCAAAGTGGTCTTTTTTGTGTTCTTTGACTGAACTTTTTTAGTAAGACTTGTGCCCTGCGACAATGAAGCCGGCCTTGAGGGATTGCATGGTTGGCAAAATTTAGCATGCCTAGTAAAATCTGAAGTTCTCTCAACGAGCAACTGTTTCGACTCAATATATTTGTTAGAAAGTTTTTTATACGTATTACTTTCTTGGTCGGCAATGCTATTGTCTGGTTGTGTGTATCCCAGACCAGTCCCAAGTATTCCAGCCTGTGCGTAGGTGTGGTTACGGACTTCTGATAATTTATATGCCAACCTAGAGATTCCAAGATGGTGAGAGTTTCCGCAACCTGAGCCATAAGCTTGGATTTGTCCTGAGATGCCAGGAGAAAATCGTCCAGGTACACCAAAAGGCGTATGCCCCGTTGACGAAGTACTTCGGCCACCCAGTTTGTTACTGCTGCAAACGTGCGGGGTGCTGAAGACAGGCCGAATGGTAGTGCTGTCAGCTGGAGTATTTCTCCATTGTAAACCACCCGTAAAAACCGTCTGTGAGTCTCCGCGACACTCAGATGGAAATAGGCCTGATGAAGATCGATCTTTACTAACCAGTCGTTTGTTTGGAGAAAATTTATTATATCTACCTGTGATATTAGGTAAAAATGTTTTGTCGCTACAAAAGTGTTCAAAGCTTTGAGATCGAATATTGGGCGCAAACCCCCATCCGGTTTCTTTATTAAAAACATCTTTGAAAAGAAACCCGGATCTGAAGCTAAAGGTTTTTCTAAAATTCCTTTGCACTTCAGGTCTTTGACCATCTGTGTCATTTCTGGAGATACTTTGGTGGATAGGCATTCTAAGAACTTTTGAGTTGGGAATTTCAGAGGAGGTTTCTTTCGGAAAGGTAAATGATAATTTGCTATTGATTTCAGAATAAACTGATTTGCCCCTAGCTGAGCCCAATTCCCTATGAAAAACTTTAGGCAACCACCACTGAAATTCTGTTGTGAGTCAATTGTCTTTGTTGGACTTTGAATTTGATGTCTCAAAGGGACGTTGCTGACGAAAGGGCTGAGTCTTTTTAATTGAATTTTTAAATTTCCTATCTATCTTTTTAGATTTATTTTTAAAATTGTCCTTTTTTAGATGATATGTATGATCTCTACGCACTGATACTTTTTTATCTTTTAAATAGGTTGGAGTATTCAACCAAACTTGAGATCCTCCAAGGGACTGAATTATAGGCTGTAAGGCCTCTCTACTGAACAAATACTCAGAACTAGGTGGAACATTTCTTAAAGTAGTTTTAAGATTTTCATTTACAATTTCCTTTAGTATGCGATCACGCCTAACTTCTATACACTCAGAACGCTTTCCACATATAATCTGCATAGTGGTCTCAGAGTTCTTATGGCATGAAGAACCAGGTCCAAATGTAACAGAAAATTTCTCAAATAAAGTGTTTGGATTTAAATTCTGTGGGTTAGCACAAGCCCAGTCGACAATAGACTGTAAACCTGAATGCAATAATTGCCTTTGCTCTAAAACTTTGTTCGACAAACCCGCTAAAAGTTGTTCTGTTGAAGCAAGATAGTCTTTATTACTATTAAAATGACACAACTCATCATTTACACGAAGTCCTGTAAACCCAGGGGTTGCTAAACAGCTCTGCAGGACTCGCTTGTACCTAATACCCTTCCAAGCTTGAGAATCAAACTGTTGTAATTTGTTCAATTCTAAAAATCTATCCATATCACTTGGTGGAATAATCTTTTTATCGTCAATGTCAGTGATCAAAGATCCCCAATCAAGAGACAATGGCTCGGGTTGTGTGGGAAGTGTAATAAATTGCCTTGAAGTATCCTTACTAATGTTTTCACTAATATTCTGTGACATCCCGCTAGTACTAGTACTTGGTATTGGATTTCCAATATTATTCTGGTTACTATTATTGTAATAAACCGGATACTGGCTTAAATAATTTGAAATATAAGACACTTGTGATATTAATGTATCAATACGAGGATCAGTGGGTACAGATTTTGGCTTGTACTTACGGTTTCGCGCCGACGAGCGAGAACGTTTATTGGGCAACGGTGACGCCATGCCCTCCTCAAACTCCGAGGATGAGGAGGAGCTATTGTCTGATGCCCTAGAGCTTGTCGATGATTGTTCTCCATCCGAAGCAACAATATCGGTTCGCTCCGTACTTACCGGTTCCATGATAAAAAACGTACACTCCTGTGTTT